CTACCCCGTCTTCATAGTTACTATTTGCAAATAGTCAATAATACTGTAAGTCTATTTTATTGTTGTTCTTTCTACACGCCGTTATAACACATTTTCATCTCATCAGTTAATTTCTGTTGTGCATATATTGTTGTACAGAAGATATTTTAAAGTGATTCATCAGGTGGAAAACGAATAGATAGACAGATAAATCGATATATGGCGCCATCTAGTGTACCTAGATTCATCTAGAATTTTTCATAAAAGTGACTCGAAAAACGGGGCCCGATTTTAACGAAACTTGTTTTATTCTGTTTCTATTCTCATTTCATTACAATACGATCAATAGGAGACCGTGTAAATATAGCTCTCAGTCGTGCAAACAGTAGGAAATAAATAGTTTACCCCTGAAGAAGAAAGGTCCACTTTTCGAAAGCGCTCGGGTTATAGGGTTTATATTCATCACTTATAATGCTAAGGTGTACAACACTATCAAATTATCGTGTTGTGTTTAATTAGTTTTCACTGCTTTCCCTACGAATTATATTTTATTTTTTAATTTAGTTATCACGAAATGAATCATTAAATCGATAAAATATTCTTTTTTATCCCATTTTCTGGAAGTCTTTCTCATGGACTTGTATACTGTTTGACTCTAGAACAAATGTTGTTTGGACTTAGAAAAAAAAAGAAAGAAAAATATTACGAAATTACCTCCACACAATCAAATCGAGGACCAGGCTAGTGCCACCTTTTATATTTCGTTATTTTTGTTTATTTATTTGTTGCTAAGCATAAGCCTTCAGACTTACCGCTGAGCCATCGAGGGAGGGGGGATCATTAATTATATTCCATTAATATATATGTATATGTTTGTTCAGATTCATCTCGATCTTCTAAGCTTTTAGGTGCAACTCTGATGTTTTATTAATTTCTTTTTCTCAGTTGTAATTTATAGAAAGGCGTTTAAGGATTTTATGACATATTTAAATTGATTAAAAAATTAGTATTTAAAAAAGTATGTAAATGTAGGACGATATTCCTGATTCCAATCTTTTTACTGCTCTTCTAAGTACTAATGCTTAGCTTTTATGTTTCGGCTTACCACAGTAACCGAACAAACAACATAAACCGGTGAGATTTTTCCCACGCTAGTAGTGTGTCCCGATCAACCTGTTCTTTTCTATATTTGATCCAGGTAATAGAGCTTTTGTATGCAATCAAATAAACAAACAAAACTTGTCTTACCCGAATACAGTAGTATCCTTTGGTCCTCCAACCCACAAATGACACGTCCGTAGTGGGCTAAATAACAAAAAATTGCGTAAGTTGAATTAAGTTTCATGTGTATGTGTAACAAACATGGACTTATATTTGTGATACAATATTAAATCTGTTGCGATGCGATATGGCTGTTAAATTCAGTATTGAATCAATATAAAAATATTATTTACGGTGATTCAGTTATCTGAAAGTGTGTAAAGTTAATATCAAATCTATTTGTGTTTATTACGGATTAAAGTACTTATTGGAGATATAAAAAAAACATCCTTTTATGAACATGATAGTGTTGATAAAACAGTACAGCTAACATCAGTTTCATTAGGTAAAATGTTTTACTAATGTGATGCTCCAGTGGTCAGCGTGTCGAACAGCATATGGATTTGAGGTTCCGTGGTTCGGTCTCGTTACTGCTAAAAAAATCAAAAATAATATAATCACGCTTTGCACTTTTAAGCCGTTAGTACGTTATAAGAGTGACAGTCAGATCCCACTATTCGGTCGGACAAGAATAGCTCAAGAGTTGTTGGTGGGACGGCTAGTGTTTATAACCCTCGTGTAGCTTTGCGCGGAAGCAAATAAAAACTAACTAACACGAGTACATCTTGATCTAGCGCCTTATAATGATTAATTAAAAATAAATAGTTGGATTATTTTTTCTAAACATCACACATATGCTGGTTTAAAACATTCAAGAGAGACATTCATAAATTATGTTGGCCGTATACGTCTTTTTTTTTTTGTATACTGATGATAGGAAGGTTAAAATATTTTGTAAGGCAACATAGTTGCCTTTGACTTGTTCAGTTATCTGTATTTTTCTCTATTGTTTATGGAGTATTTCGGGGTTTTATTAGTATTTATACGTGATCCCTAGCTCTGTTCTCGACTTATTGATGAAACAATAGACAGAAATATTTAGGGAACACTCCCGAATTCCAATCTGAAATTCCTCTTTCAGAGCGTGTGTGCAAACCAATCTATTTAAAGGCTATATTCGAGAAATTGATGTCAGGCCTAACGCTCTGTTGATGACGATCAGGATGATTTAGTAAACTTCAAGTTATCTTTTGACTCTGTCCAGTTTTAGTTGTTGAGCACGAACTTTCATTGTTGTAAAAACCAATATCACAAATTCAATATCGTTTTATACCAATTAGTATATTGATTTACAATAAAAATACAGTTGTAAGTGATCCAGTTTACCATCACACTCTATTATGAATTTATAATGGTGTGTGATGGTAAATTACACACCATTATAAATTTATATTCTTCGGGTTTTGTTTAAAAGACTATTTTCTGTTTCAGAAGCACGTGTTTTACCGCCTTTCGTACAGGCAAATATAGTAATATTTTGTACTAGGGGTAGGATCACCAAAAAATCAATTTTGGAATTCAGTTGCAGAAATGATATTAAAAGAAAGCACTAATGATAAGGATTTCACATTTTTTTTCTTTTTAGGGCAAGTATAGATGAATATATGACCACATAAAGATCAATGTATGAACGAATATTAGCTATATATTAGGAATGTTAGGTAACTAGCATTACAATTGTAAACAGCCTCATTCCCAATGCTTTTACAAGATTCTGTATCAAACTAAAACATCAGGGAGTCTATTGGGTTTTGATAATGATTTTACACAAACGGAAAACTTCATCATTTTGTAGTGAAGCACACAATGGAGCTAATAACATCATTCACTGGACAGAATGCAGCTGAACTTTTGATTGTACTTTAATTATATTTGTTTAACTTATTATTGAACATGATTTCTTTGGTTTCTCTGCTATCTTTTACAATTTGATTTCATATATTAAGCAATAACTGGTCTGTATCATTGGGTAAAATAAGAGAGAATATTTTCTTTAGTACCAAAATGAAGAAGTAAATGAGATGATGCATTTTCAAGTACCACTCGGATCCGGTAGAAGAGGAAGAGGAGAACAATAAACCTTGCCTGACTGTTTATGAAGAGGAGGAGGAGAACAATAAACCTTGCCTGACTGTTTATGAAGAGGAGGAGGAGAACAATAAACCTTGCCTGGCTGTTTATGAAGAGGAGGAGGAGAACAATAAACCTTGCCTGGCTGTTTATGAAGAGGAGGAGGAGGAGGAGAACAATAAACCTTGCCTGACTGTTTATGAAGAGGAGGAGGAGAACAATAAACCTTGTCTGACTGTTTATCAAGAGAAGGAGAACAATAAACCTTGCCTGGCTGTTTATGAAGAGAAGAAGAAGGAGAACAAGAAACCTTGCCTGGCTGCTTATCAAGAGTAGGAGAACAATAAACCTTGCCTGGCTGTTTATGAAGAGAAGAAGAAGGAGAACAAGAAACCTTGCCTGGCTGCTTATCAAGAGTAGGAGAACAATAAACCTTGCCTGGCTGTTTATGAAGAGAAGAAGAAGGAGAACAAGAAACCTTGCCTGGCTGCTTATCAAGAGTAG